AAAAGGGCCAAACATGTTCACTGGAAGAAAGATATCCTCTTTAATAAATGGTGCTGGAAAAACTGTCTCTCCAATTAGACCCATGTCTATTACCATGTACTAAAGTCAAAATGGATCAAAGATCTAAATATTAAAACAGAAATACTAAATCCACTGGAAGAGAAAGTAGGTAGAAATCTTGAAGACATAGGTGTAGGCAGAGTGTCCATAAACAAAAACCAAACTGCAAGGGAAGTACTTTAAAGAATCAACAACTGGCATCTCATCTTATTGAAAAGTGTTTGCACATCAAAAGAAATCAACAGCAGGGCAAAAAGAAAACCTACAAATTGGGATAAAATTTTAGCCAACTGTCCCTCAGACAAAGGACTTCTATCTAGAACATATACAAAATTTTAAAAAATCAGGCCCCCAATATTCAAAAACCCAGTCCAAAAATTGGCATCTAAGATGAATACACACTTCTCAGATAAAGAAATACAAATGGGAAATAAATATATGGAAAAATGTTCAACATCATTGGTCATTTGAGAAATGCAAATTAAAATAACAGTGAGATTCCATCTCCCCCCAGGAAGAATGACTATTATCAAGAAATCAATCCACAAGAAATACTGAAGGGGATGTGGGGAAAAAGGAACACTTCTCCACTACTGGTGGGAGTATAGACTGGTAAAACCACTGTGTAAGTCAGTGGGGAGATTCCTCACAAAACTAGGATTAGAGGTCCCACTTAACCCAGCTATTCCCCTTCTGGGTGTTTTTCCAGAAAAACTGAAAACATCACACCACAGCGATATATGTGCACCCTTGTTTATAGCAGCACAATTTGTCATAGCTAAATCTTGGAAACAGCCCAAATGCCCATCAACAGAGGAATGGATAAAAAAGTGTAGTATTTTTATTCAATGGAGTATTGCTGAGCTATAAAAAGGATAAACTTAAGGCTTTTATAGGTAAATGGATGCAACTAGAGACATACTCATAAGTGAAATAAATCAGTGTCAACATCGTGTTTTCTCCCCATGTGTCAACATCCTATTTTCTCCTTAGTGTAAGAACCTGAAAGAGTAAATAAAGCCCCATAGATAGTGTGAAATGGAAACAAATTGCTCAATGGGAAGGAACAATTTGGGATGAGGGAAAGGAGAAAAGAAAGAAAGAAGAAATGGAAAACATATACGTATATACAAGGATCGCTGAGATAATTTTATGCTGATATCTATTGGTTTATTTAAAGCAACAGTTGGTGCTTAAATTTTTTTTCCTGACCAATTTTACATGCTTATATCTGGTAATCTGAAAAACTAATTTGAAGAAAACAATATGTAATACAATAACAATTGCTGAACTCCTACCATCTTGTTTAGTGAAGCTCTGTATCATTTCTAATGTTTTTTATTACTTTTTATTCTCTGTAATTGTTTGATCAATCTTGCATCCTTACATCTGGTAATCTGAGGAACTTCCCTGACATGAACTATATGTAATATAACAACCATTGTTAATTCCTATTATATTGTTTTGAAATCCTGGATCACTTTTTATTGTTTTTGTGTTGTTTTGTTTTTGTCTTTGTTGTTGATGTTTTGTTTTTTTCTCTTTAAAATAAAAAAAATCGAGTGAGCACTTCAAAGCTTCTATACCTTGACATTTTTATGATGCCCTCCTGTGGGATCAGTGAATAGTAGATATAAAATATTGCACGTTATAGACCACTTTAGTTATTGCCAAACTCACAGGATAAGTTGTGTCGTGAAGATCTTATTTTCTATCTGCAGTGCTTTGGAAAATAAAAAAATAATAATGTAGATGGGTTGAAAAGTGCTGATTTAATACAAGCTATTTCCAGGTGAGATTCAGTTTCACCATCATTAAAATGAGAATAACTATCCTGATTCCTCCCAAGGATAGGGAGAATACTGTCAAGATAAGGCATTATAAAACCACAGAATGCAGTGCTGGTCATGTAGAGGGTAGGACACATGATCTGTATTTTTACCATGACCCCTAAATTCTTATCATAGTGCTACACCTCAATATTGTTGTACAGCTATGCTACCCAATTAACTAGCTACTAGCTACAAAAGCCTACTGCTTTTTTGAACTGTGCCTAGTTCCTGTAAGAGTAAAATGTATACTAGATCTCTAAGATGTAATATGAACTATAGAACATCAGCTATCTCATTAAGGTTTTTACACTGATCACAGGTTAAAATGATAGTATTATGAATATACTGGACTCAGCGAGGTATATCACTAAAAATAATTTCACTTTCCTACCCCTTTAATGTGACTATTAGCAAATTTAAAATAACTTCTGTGGCTTGCATCCTATGTCTATTGGACAGGGCTACCCTAGCAGGTCAGCAGTGGATCTGCAGAGGCTGGACTGATCTGACAGGTGGACAAAAGCAGGTGACACTAAAGAACCCCTAGCCTACCTATCTCACATGTCCTCTCCTGTCCTCCCCTGATGTCCTTTCAGATGAGTCCAATCAGCCCCCTGAGTGGGGCACTTATGTGTTTGTTGCTTTGTCCTGCAGATCAACTACAAAGCTGTTGGCTCCCTGGACCCAAGTGCCGATCTTTCTAGTCAGAGGGGGAAAGTGTTCAAGCTCCGGAATGAAACTCACCATCTCTTTGTGGGTCTGTACCCAGGGACCACCTATTCCTTCACTATTAAGGCCAGCACAGCCAAGGGCTTTGGACCCCCAGTCACCACTCGGATTGCTACCAAAATTTCAGGTATCTCTTTATTTCTCTTCTTTTTTCAGTTTTTATTTTTGTTTGTACATGTTTGCATCACAGAATGAGTGCTTGCCTTGTTGGGAGTTGATACATGTACCTAACACCAAAAGGGAAAAAGGAGGGTAGTTTGTCCTTCCCTACCCATGCCTAGATTTTCTGAGAGAGAAAAGACATAGAGCCAATTGTCTCTGTGTGGTATTGGAACAGGGAGGATGACACAGTCCCTAGTGGGTTACTGTTGCAATCTCATGACGAAGCCAATTGATGAACTTCCTAATGTGTAAAAAACATATTAATTAGGTGGTAATTTACCAAATAAATTGCCACCGGCAGCATTAAATAGTGGGCATATATCTACATTTATCTATCTATATCTATAAAAAGTAAGAGCATAAAAATTGGTTTGCAATTATATTTTCAGAAATACTTTTTGTGCCAATGTAACACAGCACAGAATCTCATGGAATATTTTGATGAATGAACAAATGACAGTGACCAAGCCACAGTGACCCATGATTGCAAGTTGCCATTACTAGTAAGGGTCCCTTCTTCACAACTAAGACAGCATCAGCACAGAATTATCCCAAAATGCTTTATTACACCTTTCACTTTTTAGAATATCTCTACAATTCTGGTCTATGTAATACATATTTTCCGTGTGGTTTTGCAAAAACCATGATTTTTTGTAGCTTAATATTTCCACTTACCCTTATCCCATAAGCCTTTCCCATGTTGCTACATCGCTTTCATTATGAGGTTCTGTCAAGTGGATGGACGTAATTTAATTAAACATTCCCCTGTGGTTGGATATATTTGGTGCCTCCATGTTTTTATAAAATAACGCTTCAATAAACATCTTACAAAATAAAAGTTTAATTCGTTGGTTTGGATTGTAACTTTTGGATTAAATTCAAAAATGGAAAAGCTGAATTAAAAGGGATGTGGGTTTTAATGGCTCTCAATATAAATAGCTAAATTGCCCTTTCAAAGGATTAGATTTAGTCACACTCCTGTGGGGGGGAGAGGGTCTCTTGGAAAAAAAAAGTAGGGGGAACTAATTCATTATTGCTTTATTTGCATTTAAATGTGTTTAACAAGGTTGACTCTGCTCTCACATCGTTATTAAGTTCTTACATTTCTTACGTGTATCTTTATTCCCTGTGGAGTGAATAATGGATGCATGTGGGTTCCTGGCCACATCACTGTCACCTTTCTCCAGACTATTTGAGCCTTACAAATAGAAATCAGGGCCTCCTTTGCTGAAAGCCTCTGTTATCCTGTTGTTAGAACCCATTCCTTTCTGATCATCTGGAATATCTTTAAGGATGGAGGTGACAAGCAAGGTTGGGGACTGGTGCTGAGCTCACCTCCAATCTCTGTTCCCTGTCTAGCTCCTTCGATGCCTGAATATGACACAGACACCCCACTGAATGAAACGGACACAACCATTACAGTGATGCTGAAACCGGCCCAGTCCCGGGGAGCCCCTGTCAGGTGAGGAGTTTGCGGCTTTCTTTCTCTGAACCATACATACCTCCAGGGGAATCCTGTGACTGGCATTGTGTGTGGGCACAATGGGACCAGGAGCAAAACTTCCTGGAAGGAACAGGGTCAGCTGTCCCAAGCCCAATTCAGAGGAGATATCTAAGCCTGGATTCTTTAACCCTACAATGGAGTCTTCAGAAGAATCATGCTGATAAGAACCCTACATGGTCAAGGAGAGAGTTTTCTGGATCACAACCCTAGTAAATTTAGTTTGTGCAGTGGGAAACCTGGACATAGTGCCATGAAAAATTTACTTTATTGCAAGTAACAGACAGACAGATTTACTGAATTCTCAAAAGAATCTGTTGAAAGTTTATGAATGGGAAGAGATAAAGGTGGAGAGGGGAGCTTGTCCAGCCTAGGGCTATGTAGTGTGAGAATCCCACAGGCCCTTGCTGGCAAGGTTACCTGCTGATTTTAACAAGAGGCTATTGGAGGTCAGAAGCATATGGTTGCCAGAGGCAGCAAAAACATCGCAGTAGCCAAGCTGATCAGTGTACATACACGGCTATCAGGAGAGTGGGCATTTCTCTTAAATGAACAATACTTTGCACAAAGGCAGCAATGTTAACTGCTGATTTTGCACAGAACTCTAGGAAACAAGACCTCAGGTCATAAAAATGAGATAGAATGTGGGATGGAATAGGTTTCTGTGCCCTACTCTTGGTACATAAGGTATTCAATACACATTTGTTGAGTTAAGGTGTAGCACAGGGCTCAAAAAGGGTTCATTCAACACAAGTATTATTAAGTATCCTCTCTGTTTTAGTTACTGTTTAAGTACTTGGTAGAGAGTCATGAACTAGTAATAAATAAGTTATATTCTAAAGGAAGCTGAATTCTAAACATAATTGCAGTACAGTGCATCCTTATAGAGATATGCACAGTTGTTATGGCAGCTTAGAGGAGAGGATTCTCAGGAGAGGAGATACTAAGCTGCATCTTCAGTGTTGGGTAAAGTTTAACCCAAGTTGCAGGGGTGCAGGGTAGGCAGAGGCATGAAGGAGAGAGCCTGTGCCTGGTTAATTTCACCTTATCACAGAGGTCAAGTGAAAGCTGAGGTGCATTTGAGGACAATGCAGAGGCCTTGAGGGTTGCTTCCAGTGACATCACTCTTTGCATCCCTGGGCTCTAGTACCCCAGCCTAAAGGAAGCTCTGAGATGGCCCTAAACTCCTTTCTTCACTCTGCATTCAGCTCTACCAGCAAATTATAGGCAGTGGAGCAGATAGACTCAGTCGCCAAAATTGTGGAAGTTCCTGGAAGTCTGGAAACTTTGGTTAATGATCCTCCCAAGTCAACTGAACCATCAGGCCCTGAAACAAGTGTGGATAATGTTATGGTAGAGCTTTGCTCTTCTATTTTGCCCAGTGGTTGTTCTAGGATTGTCCTCTCTGTGATAAGCAAAATTAAATGGTAGCTCTAGAGTTAAATCTGGTTATTAATCCTCTGGTTTTCTTCTGTCCTTGAATTTTCTCTATACACTGTGAACTGTTATCTTTATTTTCAGATGAAGAAACTGAGGTGTAGAGATGCCCAAGGGATACAGACAATAACTAGGAATGGGGAAGCTGAGGTTGAACGCAGCACCTCTGGGTGTCCTGTCGCCATTCCCTTTTGGCCAACAAAGCCTTACTGCTTTTAACAAATGTCTCTTTTATGCAGCAGCATCAGTCACTATTGCAAAATCTGATTTTCCCAGAGGACAAATGTATGGCCAGAGAGGGAAGTAGCTTGACCAGATTCCACAGCAAGGTAGCAGCTGACCCAGAGCACAGCTCAGATCTGACCCCAAGTGTGATGCTCCTATTGTAGATTAAGTTATCCAAGCCTATAAATCTATCAGCAAGGGACCTGGTCTGAGTGGCATCCCACTGTGTGGTATCCTAGTGAACACAAATTTAGTCCAGTTCCCCCATGGTCCTCAGGCTGTGTGGGGCCATGGAAAGAATGTGTTTGATGGCAATAAACCTAGATTAAATCCTGTTCTGACACTGCAGCCTTAACACTGGACAAGATGCTTAATCTCAGTTTCTATCTCTCTCCCCTCCCCCCTTTCTCACTCTCTCTTTTCCTCCTTACCTCTGTCTCTACTCTCCTTATCTGCAAAGCATGGGCGGTATTTCACAGCCTGAATGAATAGGGGCATGCAGAGGGCCAGGTAGGCCAGACACCCAGGCCTGCCTGATTCCAGACACCAGAGACTAAGATCTCGACCCTTCTCCCAAGTAAAGGGACCGTCTTTTTTCAAACAAAAATGCAAAGGAGATTTTTCTAGTCTTCACTAACAGAAACCGTTACATATCCACCCTGAGTCTGCATGTTCTTGCTTTGCATATTTATTTAACAACAAGCTTATGCATCTTTAGAATATAGTAAATTATGAGGAGGGAAAAGGGGATGGAAGTGACCAAGCAGCAATGAGGAATTGAGACCAGCAGGGAGCAAAGGAGAAGAGCAGCTCTACAGAGCAGATGTGGGTACTTGACAATCAAGAAGGTCTGAGTTATAGACCCTCACAACCATGGATGTTTATTCCTTGATCCAGTTTTACAAAAAACAAGTGTGTCTTTAACTTAAAACAGCCAACTACCTTCCATTTAATGAGCAAACACGTGCTGTGTGTCTCTCGTTGTACATAACACTGTCTGCACCTTCACAGCACTTTGGTAAAGGCTCCTTCTTTTACAAATGTGGAAATTTAGATAAACTGAAGTTAAGTGCATTGACCCAGGCCATGACACAAGTAAGAGCTACAGGCAAAATTTAAGCCCAATTCTGACTCTAACCCTCTACTCATTACTATACCATGCCACTTCCCTAGTAGGAAAGTATGCATGACATATTTTGGTGACATTTTCATTTGAAAAATTAAAATAAAAGAAATGTCACTGCTCAAAGGGGAAATGGTTGGTGTCTGGAAATGTCTGCTGGCTTTTCATCCCAAGGCTCTGGATCACTGAGGGTGGGCGTGCACTCTATTTCTGGAATTATTTTTCAGACATTGCTTGGGCATTTTCCAAGAAGGAGAAGAGACTAACCAATGCCAGTCAGCAAAACTTTCAGGACAACTGCAATGACAGAGTGGAAATACCACAGTGGATTTGAGTTACCTTTACCATTTTCCACCTTGAACTTTGGGCACTAGAATGTGCATGTGGGAGGCAATTGACAGCAGAGTTGTTCATTGAATATTTACTGAACACTCACTATGGACCGGGAAGTGAACTAAGCACTGGGGATAATCAGGAAACAAGGTGGACACACCACTGCCTTCTTGAGACTTCCTATCTACTAAGTGTGTCTGTGAATGGGCAGGGAGGAAAGGCATTAAGCATATAAGCAAACAAAATAATGAAATCAACAAAACAAATAAGTTGACACAAGGCAGCAGGGGCAGTAACTACGTTGGTAGACCAGATGGAACAATGAGCATCACCAGGAAAAGTGGACCATGTGAGGTACTGCAGGTTGAAAGGTGGGAGCAGATTAGACCAACAAAATGCCACTCATGTTACAGGGTTCTAAGAGCTCATTATTGGGTCAAGGATGCCTTGAGTCCTATTTTACCATACATAGAAGGAAAGAGTTGCAAGTTGTGGTGCAAGGGAGTAAAAAGATAATTTACCACATATTTCAAAATAAATAGTGGTATGCACCTGTAATCCCAGCACTTGAAAGGCTGAGGCAGGAGGATAGCCAAGAATTTGAGACCATCCTGGGCTACATAGTGAGTTCAAAGCCAACCTGATCTACATAGCGAGACCCTGTCTCTAAATAAATAAATAAATAAATAAATTTTTAAAAAGACTTTACACTTCATAGTTTTCTTCTGTTTTATCATTTAACCTTCCCCTACCTGGTGAGTAAGGTGGGAAATACCATCTCCACTTCAGAGAAAGAAACTGCAGGATAAGATGTTAAAAAATTGGCCCAAGGTCACAGGGCTCATAACAATTAAAACCAGTGGTCAGACACAGACCAAGTTTCCTGGTTCTGAGTTCATTGCTCCCCAAGAAGTTGTGAATTCCCCAGGCCTGACAAGTCAAATGATGCCTGAGTGACCCTTTCATGGGGACACCACAAGGTGAGCTTCTGCTGGCTAGTGTATGAGGGGTGGGAAAGATGACTTAGCAGTCCTCCAGCTCTGGATTGGGGGGGACCTAACCTGCAGCTTGTGAATTCTGGTGGTGTCTCTCTGCCTGAAGCTGCAGACTCCCACCTGAACTTTTCCTTCCAGCTCCTCAGGTAGGTACTTCTTCCTTGTGGCTGTGATGCTCAGATCCTGACAGAACCAACTCCAGACCCTGCTTGATTGCTCACTGCTCCTTGGAAGCCTCAGGGGTCTGACTCTGGTAGAGTCACACATGCAGGGAGCTGTGGAGAGCAGCAGGGAGGATCCCTTGACTCGCATCCCTCCAGCCAAACCTCATCAGCAGCTTGGCCTATTTTTCTAATACTCCACAATGGAGATTTATTGCTTTTGCATTGCTTTCCCTGGGCCTTCAAAGATTTATTGGTTTTTAAGTGACAGAATCCTAGAATTGCTTAAAAGATCAATCAAATAGTGACTCGAATCTAATATTCAGCTCTGACTTGAGCACGCTGAACCTTCTTCCCCAACACCCCACCTGTCATGCTGATGTATCTGTGCTAACCTTGATAAGAAAGTAACTTGGCCAGGAATTAATCACCCATAATTCAGTCCCTGGAGGGAGGTAGAGGGAGAACCCTAGATTTTAGCAGACCCTCCTGCTCCAGCAGGCTTCTCTGGACATTTCCTTTGCTCAGCTTGTCTACCCTCCCATGCATCCAGTCAGTCACACAGGCTGTCCATTCAGTTTTAGAATCAGCCCTGAGCTGAGCTCCTTCTCCTCCATAGTCACTCCCCAGAACCACTCCCCTGCCCTACCAGGGTGTCCTTGCTGATCTATCTGCCCATGGGCCTAT